CATATAGTTTGCAAAACCTTAGGATATTATTTCTGCACATTGCTTTCTTTCGGAATTTTCACTCATTTTGCAGGTCTTATGGAGGCAGAGCAATCACTTTAGCCATATTTAGTGAAACTCCCCTCTGGAATTTGTAAAGGTGCTTTGTGAGTTAGTTAATAAGAGAGTTTGGATCATTGGAAAGCCTCTGGAGCACCGCTAAAACCTGTTGCTCTGCTGAATAGATAACTCATTAAGACAGAATCATTGCCTGACTGCAGATAGCTTGTCTGATTTATCTGAGGTTCATCATAATTCACCCAGGGTATTTTTGAGCTATATAGAACAGTAGTGAAGTACTGTTTTACTACAAGCTAGATGTGGAAAAATACAGACTGAGACAGAAAGCACTTCTAGTACTCATCTTCTACTACCCAAACTGAGGAGTTTATATAAATGCAAAAGGAAGAGACTGGATGCAGATGCTTTTCCCCCCATCCTTGTTGGTATCAAAGGCAATAGGAGTGACAAATGTCAATTTGGTGAGAATGGAAGCAGAGTAAATTTTTTTTTCTGCACTTTTCTTCATCTTCTAAATTTGATTTGAAGACATATCTCAGATTTTTTCTCACAGAGCACAAGGGAAGGATGCATATTCAATTCATCATGGGAAATTCGGGGTGGAGGGTCTCTGACTCTTGCTTTCTTCAGAAAAGAAAGGTTGATTTTAATGAAATGAACTCTCCTTCATTTCTGGATAAACAAATAGAAACTGGAGAAACCCAGACTTTTCTGACCTGCATAGATTTTTGACATTTGGAAGCATTTCATGAAGTCAGTGATCATGAACTCACTTACTGGCTGGCAATTAACTTACTTATGTTTTTTTGGACAAGATTTTGTAATATGCTCTTTTGCAAACACCAATGGTTGTTCTGTCTGCAAAACCAGCATTCCCATTTTTCCCAATTTGTAATTTATTTCTAAATAGCAGAAAAAACATTGGGTAATTTGCCGACATGTTTAAATTTGGGAAAGCAACAGTCATCAGAGTCAAAGTAATTAGAAAGAGAGAAAAAGATAAAAAGCTTCATGTTGCTGTCAGTGACTATAATTGTATCATTTTAGACAGGTAATATCTGCAACAGTTTACTAAAGTGAACAGCCTGGAATTCCAAAGCAATATTGATTACCCCAGTATTACAATAGAATGACAATGACTGCATTAAAGCATTATATATTTAAACTTTCAAATGGATATATAGTGTATCATAGAACTTATAAATGGTATGATTTAGAAAAATATATTTGGTTAGTCTCTGGTGGTACAAAAAAGGTTTGAAGTAGAATTCAATAAATCCAATATTTATTACTTCTTGTTATATGTGATGGACATATTCAAATATAATTATCTATTAAGACAAAATAAACCTATAAACCATGAAAAGCATGAAAGTAGCATTTAAACATATATAATGTATCACAGTACAATTTGTGAAAGGTTTCAAAGCACATTTCAATTCCTACATAGTAAGTTAAATTAATATTTTCTAGAGAGTCTGGTTAGGGGAATGTACATTTTTACTGTGTTTTTGAGAAACCTAAAGGTTCTGATTTTCAGTAAGTTCCAATGAGTAATGATCTGCCAGTGAGGCAATAAATTCTGCCTATTTTTGGAGACAAAAGTCTCCTTTTGGCCTCACTATTTGTTGACAAGAGCTCAGTGTTCTGCAAGACAGAACTCAAATCTGGTTTTGATAAGAAAGTATGAATTTGTAGTTGCATAAGAATGTAAGACTTCATACAGGAGGCAGAATGCTCCTTTTCATAAGCTGGATCGCACCTCACAAACACATGTTAAATACTAGGTCAGGATGCCTTACAGTATGATTATGATCATGATCATGGCTTTGGGATATTCTCACTATTCAAAAGAAGAAATGTAATGCTTCATTTTCTTACCAAATGGCTATTCAGAAACGGATTATATTATGTAAACTTCTGTAGCAAGCCAACAACAAAATAAATTTTCCTGCAACTAGTGAGCACCAAGAACAAGAGCCTCAGATGGATATTTTGTTCCACCAGATTGTTTCTCTTAGAATGCTCGTTTTCATAAGCTGGATCGCACCTCACAAACACGTTAAATACTAGGTCAGGATGCCATACAGTATGATTATGATCATGATCATGGCTTTGGGATATTCTCACTATTCAAAAGAAGAAATGTAATGCTTCATTTTCTTACCAAATGGCTATTCAGAAACGGATTATGTTATGTAAACTTCTGTAGCAAGCCAACAACAAAATAAATTTTCCTGCAACTAGTGAGCACCAAGAACAAGAGCCTCAGATGGATATTTTGTTCCACCAGATTGTTTCTCTTTGGCCTGCTCAGTAAACAGCGAGAGATAAGGTTGTAGAAAAGTCCTGCTACCCTATCATGTTCTTAAATGCCTACATCTCTAGTTTGTCTTTATATACCATTTGTAATTTAAGAACCCTGCAGTTTTTACTGAGAGGGTCCCCTCTTCCCTTTGCCATCAGCTCATGGTTAACTTTATGGTTAATGTCCCTGACCACAGAGCAAATATTTCCTCCATGTTGATACTGCTGATTCATAGTTCTGTACCAAAGAGTGAATCTAGCTTCATATGCTGTGTTAGCTAGGTATCTAGACATATAGAAGTCTGCTATAAGGGCTCCCTTTTTACGCCCCAACCTTTATACTTCAACATGTCTGCAAAGTGTCATTGTTCAAATGTATATAAGCCCCAAATACACCTTGTGCTACTTAGTTAGATTTTACTTATATTGAAGTTCAATATATTTCATGAAAAATGTCAACAATATCTAAAAATATTCCCTTCAGCCAGCTGCATATTATGAACTGCATTTAACTGCATATAAGTGCATATTATAAACCAGCATTTACCCTTCCATTAAAAAGTCTGAGTTTTACTAGTTTAAGAAAAAAATAGTTCCTGTTTAGAAATGGAATGGTATAATTATGTTTTTTAAGACTGTTTTATCTGTTACTCTCCTTTCCATCACAGTCAGACAGTGAGAAAGAGGCAAGAGAGCTGAGGTGGAAGAAATGGGGACAGTAATCGGAAGTCATTGGACCACGATATCTGACCAAACAGAGAGATCAGCAGAGACTGAACTGCAGTTTTCAGAGGAAGGATCTTGTCCCTTCACTTCCTGCAGTTACACGATGTCCTTATCAGTCAAAGAAAGCAAGATTATAATTTGCCCACTCCATCACATACCATGTGTTATTTTTAACCTACCATACATATGGCACCTGTCTTTTTTAATCCTGATGGTCAGCTTTTCAGATAACAGAACTAATATAGCTACTTATTAGTGTAGCAGATATATTTCCTGTTGGTCTACACAAATAAAAAAATGGTAATTTTCCCATGACTTCACTGTGGGTAAAAATTTTAGAACTTCAGTTTAACAAGAGAGAATAATAAACAAAAAGAAGGGAAGGAAGGACATTGGTACATAAGGGGGGGGGGATCATGGGCCACACATTCTTATATGTGAGTCCTGTTTCTCATTTTTTGTTTGTTTGGTTTCTATTTTTATTAGCCTGTTGCTTATGCATTCTTAAATAGCGTTCCTAAATATACAGACATTGCTTCCTTTAAACTGTGCTAGGAAGCCTGACAGGGGGTTCATGAGAGGAGCAAAGAAGACATGCTAAGTTTCCTTATTTTAAAATTGCTTATTATTTACTTCCTTCCTCAATTTTAGAAGACAGAGTGTTTCTGCAATTCAAATAACTTGAAATGTAAGTGCTATGCTGGGGTCTTAACTTCCGAGATGCTTCCGATTTTAACAGTAGTTGGAGGTGCACAAGCATGGATTGGATCCTTGGAGATTGTTTCTAGTGATGTGGTTCTAGTTTGTTTTGTCAAAGGGATGCATCTTTACTCAGAAAAGCTTATTCAAATTTTTTTTTTACAAAAGTAAATAATTGATTTATATGAATACACTTTAAAAAACTTTATATCTGCAATTAATATTTATTCAAGCCAAGCATTTATTTTAAACCAGCTCCAACCCCTGGCCCCTGTTTTCCTGTTGTTCTGACCAATAGAGAAATGAACAATACTGTAGGTATGGGACAAGTCTTTCAAGAAGAAAGGCTTTTTAATGTGAGGAGTTTCAAAATATATTAATAAACTCCATATGCTTTTTAGACTGGCAATGGGAGTGCAATGAGACAAGGATGCAAGGAAGTAGGGTGTAAGCAGGATCAACCAGTCAACATTATGGCCTCCATGTAGCAACACATAGGTTGCATATAATCAGGATTAGTTTGAATACCTAAGGAGGCTTATACACTAATTTACAATGAGACTTTGGTACTTTTGCTGATTCTTTAACCCTGATCTAATATACCTGAGACAGAAAGGATCCAGATTTCTGAAAAATCCAGGCAGTTTCTCTTTTTGCATAAGAAATATGTTGACAAAAATTGATTGTATGCTGCACTTAATGATCTTCTCTGAAATACTATTTCACTCAGCTACAAGTGTCATTAAGCAGCTAACACACACTTGCTGGATACGATCAACACTGAATTTATCAAGAACCTGAATTTAACAAAACATTATTAAGGTATTTCATCTCCCATCAAATTAATATGTATTTTTTTATATGGTATATAATTTCATTTAAAAAATCCCAGATTTAGCTACAACCCCCAAAATATTTAATAAACTTTGGTAAGAATTGCTATGTCAGCTCATCTAGTAATAAAATTCTAAGATGAAAATTACTTGGAGTTCTTTGCATAATTCTCCAAAATATACTTTCAATCATTAATGAGTTCCTCTAGTCACAAGCTGAATTTTAGACCAGCATTACATTTCATCAGTAAATCTGTCTCTTATATGGTTTGTATAAGAACTCTGAGCGCTTGAATTTAAATATTTATTTTTAACCATAGTGACTTTGCTGGAATCCACACCAAAAGGGTCACTACTGTAAAACAAATTTCTTACCTCTGATGGATGTCCAGCTCTAATAAAAGTACAGAGCGGATCAAAAGCTCCTGTTCCACAAGCCAAAAGATGTGTTCTGTTGTATCGGTGAAGGACACGGATGTAGTTTGCACATTCATCCTAGTTTACACAAAAAATAAACATAGGAAAATATTAGCATTATATTAAAAAGTTGGTGGGTTTTTTTAATATCTCAGGTGATATTCTGCATAATTAAACTTTCCATTCTGCTAAATATAACATCTTAGTTCTGCCACTTTGTGCTAGTACCTCAGTGCCACCAAATTCATGGATAGACAATCTGACATGAAAAAAACAAGTTTAGAGCACTGATTTCTCACAACTTCTTTTAGGTGCTTAACCAGCTAGGAGTTATTAAGTTATAAAACACACTTTTGTGCTTCTTTAATGTCAGAGATATTTTGCAAATCTAAATATTTCTTTTACTAATAATACTAGATGCACTAGACATTAGACTCAGAGCATGAGATGTCAATAGTCAACAAATAGCTTCTCTCTCAAGTTCAATAAACTTTATTTCAAGAAAAGTAACACTTTTTTCTTAATTTTTTCCCCATAAGACCATTGCACCACTAATTTCTTGTGTAATTAATTGCTAATCAATATTTTTTTATATTGTATAGCCTCATGCTTTATCTGTTCCCACTGTTCAAACTCTCCTTTGAAGAAGAAATTATTAATTTCCCTCAGGGCAATACTCTGGGACTCATTAGTGTATTTGCAGCTTCATAAATATTACAATTAAAAAATTTTCAAAGATCCCTTTGAGATGTGGGGTCATTATCCTTCCTGCACTAAATTAGAAATGGAGACAATGAGATAAAACTATCCATTGATTTTGGCACTCCTGGGACTTGGTTTTACTGAGTATTTAACATTTTGCAATACCTTCTATGTTTGGAGCAAAATTTCTGTTCATTTCCATTCATTGCTCAACATTTTTGCAACTCAGACCCTGGGATTTAAGACAGTCACACTAAGTTTAAAGAGACAATTATAATGAGATTAATTTTAGCTAACTTTAGCTGTTCTAAAGTTTAGACATGCAATTTATGATATTCTCCTAGGCTTTTTCAGTAGTCAACAAAGAAGGCCAGACATCTCCAAAGGGCAATTAACTCTATCCTAAAATGAATGTGTAAAACAGAGTGGAGAAATTTTCTTTTTGAAAATTTTCTGTCCTTCACTGATGACTACTCTAGTTTTCAGACTGTTATGTTTATCAGAAAACAATCCTGGGTCTTATTGACCATCTGTAAGAACTTAATGTCACAGAGAATGAGTCTGCAGCAGGGCTATGTGCAGAACTCAGCTCTTGCAAATCCACATTAGGTTCAAAACTAAGAAACCATCTTCTTTCTTCAAACCCTTGTGTCATGCAGTGTAAGTCTGCCAACTGCACCAACAAATAAATAAGGATCATAAGGAAAAAATCTCCTTTGTTACATTAACTGTTCACCGTAAAGATATATCATGCTAATTGAAAGAAGCAGGTAACCTACACAGACAGGTAACCTGTTGTGTAATTAAATATTATGTATATGCAAAGGACAAATCAACCTTGAATATCTTACTTTTGGAATTTTAACTCATTTATTACTTTTTTAAAAAGGAAACTAAAAAGAATACAGGTCTTCCTTCAGTTGGCATCCACATAGTCTCTCACTTGGACAAAATTTTTTAGACTCACTGGAAAAAACCTGCTACTTGAACTGTCAGACAAATTGAGAGAAGAATGAGTTGCGATTAGTAGGATGTGATCCTCCATACATAGATCAGTGCTCAAATACAGAGGTGCCCACTTTGTATGTGCATTTCACAAACATTTGATGACTGGTGGTTGCAGAATGGTAATACATAAAAATTTTATGATGCTTTGTGGTTTTTAAATAGATGCTTTACTGGGCACTGGTGCTGTTGCTCATTCTCCCTCCCCTCCAAGTATGACCTGCCTGACTTATCCTCTCTGTTCTCTCTCAGTGGTGGTCTGGACTTTACTCCATGGTTTCCTTTTTTATCCACATATGTCTGCAGCTCTTGGTCTTTGTCTCAAAAGCACCATGGAGGAAGAGAGATCTTAGGATTTTTTTTAAATGGGAAAAAATTACACATTTTTTTCTCCTGTGTGCCTTCATAGAAATGCCTGAAATTTTCTGCAGAAAAAACAGGATGAGGCAGATACCAAATATAGAAAAAAGTCATTCTAAATGGCTACATTTATCATTTATAAAAACAAGAAAAAAAAGGTGCTGCTCTGGGAAGTGTCAGGCAACTAGGCATTGCTGCTGACCCCACTAATAATATCTTGTACACACAACAAGGAAGAGATGCATCAGCGAAGGGAACATTAAAATAAGTTTTCTTCCTACTATATTAATTAATTAAATGTTGTGGTTTTCTTCAGGAGGCTCCATAGTCATATTAATAGATCCGTGGAATTTTATTCATCTGAAACTTCTCAGTGTGAAGGAGTTAGTCATCACTACAGAATTCAATTTCCATATCTGAATGATTTCCAATTCTGACAAAATAATTGAAAGGATCAAAAACTCTCACATCACAGGCCAACAGGTGTGTTTCCTGGCACACGGGATGAGAGCAGAAAGATTTTTTCTTTGGCTTGATCCGGATCAGGAAAGTGTGGCCTGAGTTTAAGATGATGCATGTGTTGTTAAGACAAGGCTTTTCTAACTGTCCTATTAAGTCTGTTACACGCTCTCTGAAACTGTGTTTGTGACTCCAATACTTGCAGTTTTACTGCTACAAGATGAACTGATAACTTTTAAAGGTTGTAAGAGCTTGTAAAAGTGGCCTGTTCTGTTATATAGGAAGAGGTAGCAGAGAACACAGGAAGTACCTCAGCACTGAGACGCTTATTACAACATTTTCAGTTCTATTAAATATCAATTATGCACTGAGTAATAGATCTTTTGCAAAAGAAAATAAAGAAAGAAACAGAATGGAAATAAGCACAAAGGTTTGAAAGAACACTGATGAGTGATTTTTTTCTGAGACTTTACAGTGTGAAAAATAGCATTCAGAAATTAAAAATGGCAAAAGATTGATTTTAAGACATAATGCCATTAAGCCAATATTGGTCTATGGCTACAAAAAAATGAAGAAGAAAAGTAATAGGGAAGTTTTTGATTCTAATTTAGATTCCTTTCAGGCTGAGGAATTTAGCTTACTGAATACTGAACATGCTAGTGACAATTACTAAGGTTTCCCTGGAATTAATTAGTCTTACTCATTCACATAGTCCCACACTTAATTAGGTCTCATGTGAGGATTAGAATATTGTTTGGTATTGTTTGGTATTACAATATTTCCAGCTTTTATAATTTTAACATTTTTTTCTTAAAGACTCCAGTTCTGGAGTTTTGTGATTATTTAAAAATTCTGTGATTTTCTTTTAAAAAATAGAGACACCTAACTTGCACAGTACAGAGGGATGTGGGAAACATGAATTTCTTTAAATTATCACATTCATTACAATGCAGATCTGAAGACTTAAAATAACAGGCTGGATTGTAAAATATTTTGAATTTTAAGGAATCTCATGAGTCTGATGGGGGATATTTTTACATTACATTGGAACAATAGTACCTATTTCTGTATTTATTTAACCCAAAGAATATTGTGAAAGTATCGGAAAATAAATCCCATCATGTAGTGGTGAAGGAAAGATGACAGAGCTTTAGCTGTAATAACAGCCTGTGCTGAGAGGTAGTATTAAATAAAGTTCAAAGAATTTAGGTTTTGGATTCATTTAATATGACAAAGTTTGGATAATGTAGAAAAACACCATTTTCAACCAAAGCCACCTGAAATTCTTAAGGGTACAAAAGCACCCAGAAAAATGTATTGAACTTTTAAGATACCACAAAAAGGATCAGTTCTAGTCCAGGTGAGTGTAAGGAGTAAAGTGTCATGGGGTTTTTTTTAAGTATTATTATTAT